GCTGAACACGGTCAAGAAGAAAAAGAGTAGAGATCGAAGTTCCATACCAAGCGTATATGAGTGATGCCGGCGTCTTCCATCCGAGCGTGAATCACGTTGCCCCTAGACCTGAATAAACGCTGCAGTTCGATTGCATTTCAAATGTCTCACTGCTGTAGAAAAACTACAGTAACGGCTGGCATGGAAACATTTCGGTTGGAATCGCTGAGCAATGTACATCTGAATTGCTTTACCAAGTATCTCGACTAAGGACACTAACGCGTGACAACCCGGACAATAAATATAGCAGTGCAGTCTCAGTTTTTACAACCATTAACCATGCATTTTCTTGCGCCATCAAAAACAAAAAGGACATTAAAATCAGGTAGGTAAGTAGAACGGAAAAATCGTTCATGCAGAGTTTGACTACTAACAGCGGTTGCTAGTAGCATTGCAACCTAATGTGTATTTAATGTGCGCGACATGTCACACATGTATGTATCCACACGTTTGCTGTGGTTGTCATCACTGAAGTCTACAAGATCACTATCTGGGTGTGCTACTAAACCTGGATGAAAATTCGAGGAACGAACACGGTGAAATCCTCATCGTTCAAATGTGAAAAATGATGGGTGAGCAATTCTGCAAAAAAATTAAATAATAAACACTCGCGAATGACTAAGATTTTTCGTGTCTCTATTGATATTTTAATCATTAACGATTTTTATAATGTATCAGTGAGTGAAAGTGAATTTATCCGAGGTCTTAAGCTGTTTGACTGGGTGTGAGTGAGCGGTATCGAATGTCGACACTTGGGAGTTCCAGTCTGTTGCAAATTTCCTTTTCTAGCCTGACTCAGATTAGCTGGGTTAGGTTGACGGGGTGCACCTTCGAAGCAGAGAATGCTATTAATTGTCTGAATTCACTGCACAACAATCAAAGGTTGTGCAGCAAAATGTTCCTTTCGAACCGTAACGACGTCACGTTTACACAACGAGAGAAAGAGCTCGTCTTGCTTGTTCGATCCATGTATTTTTAGGTTCGCCGCATAATCGCCTGTCCTTGAAAAATCAGCTTTACGCTGTGGCTGTGTATCGGGTATTGTTCGTTCCAGAATCGAGCCAGTTAATGTGCTCCTAACAATTGCTTCGCACGAAACGTGTTGCAATGATCGCTTGCTATTAGGTTAAAGGCAATGGCTAGGTCAACGAAACTTTCTCCGTCGTATGAAACCATCGTGTTTCATATCGCGTAGGGATTTCGGACAGCTTATCAATCGGCCACCTTAAGCCCATCCTGTGCATCTGAATCCCTTGACACGAAGCTTTTAGCTAATCCGAATTTACCGAATCACTTTTGGATCTTTTTTTGAGCTGCAAACACCACAACTATCTATCGCCATTTCTCTTATCGTCCGCTGTTTGGATTTAATACTAAGGGCTTTTCTCTCGCAACATGGCGTTTTCCGTCGTATCTGTTCAAATCGGCTGGTGGTCAGTTGGTAACTTGACAAGAATTTATGCCTGCCTACATCTATGAATTTAGTTATGCAGGTTGTTTTATATTCTCTGAACAGGGTTCACGGGTCTCGTCCAACCGATGGTAAAAACTTTATTCGCGTGAATGAAGTCTCTCTTTGCCTACACATCATATTCGCTTGGTACATCTGTTTTCTCGGACAATATTCCTTAGCGATTGTCGATCAGTTTTCTCTTTATTCATTGATCACCTATATCGGTAAGATGCAGCGACCGAATTCAGTGCACATGCGTGATGGCTATTGGATGTAATACAATGTGCCGATCCAATGGGAAAGTGGCAAGCAGACGCGGTCATACTAACTTCTAACAGCTTTTTATTCTTTTTTGTAAAGAATGATTAGGAATGGAAAAGAACACTTTGAGGTAGTTCAAGCACGAACGGGCGAGTTACTTTGGATATTCAGTAGGCATAACGGATCTCTGTTCACTATTTTATGATACTCTCTCAGCTCTCTAAGTCTCTAAGTTCCGTCGCACTTCTGGAGATTTCGTCGAGCTCCGTAATCGTTGCAGGACTTCCGATTGACAAAACTCACATCACGTGAATTTGTTCCACGCCATTCCACGTGCTCCAAACTTCGTAATCATTGATAGTCGAAAACGTCTGCTCGCAAATTCAAGTTCTCACTCGGGGCAGAAGTGTACGAACGGTGGCACAATATACGCGGATTTTAAACTATCACGTCACCGCTGAAGGTGTTTCAGTTGTGCGTATGCCACTGGATCCTTGGAAATGCGTGCGGCTATCTCCTTTGATGCGCTACCGTCATATGTTACACACTAAGGCCAATTCCTGATCATCGGATTTCAAAGTAGGACTAGTCGCAACACCACTGCGTTTTGTGGGTTCGAAGAACGTAGTGAATGGTGTAAAAGAATTTGAAAGTCTGTCAAGAGCGCTTTGTACATCCTCCATACATTCGAAAAGACAAACGAAGTCTTCAGCGTACTCCAAATCGCACAGCTTTTCTCCAGCTGCCCATTCAGTACCAACATTTTGGAGGCCACTAAGTGCGTCTTCCAGTATTTTGTCTATGACAAAATTGAACAGGAATGGCGAAATGAGGCACCCTTGACGAACACCGCTCCTGGTTTTGAACGATTTACTTAGCCAACTGTGGACCCCATGGGCTACCAGAAGTATGTGAGTAAAGTGCGCGCAGTAAGTTGACCTACTCATGAGGCACTCCTTTTCGATGAATCAACCTCATTTGCACTCCACGATTAACTGAGCCAGATGTTTCTTTTGTGTCAAAAAATACTTTCATCGTTGGTTGACAATCTGCGTGGCGTTACTCGGGGACTTGACACGATGAGAAGATTTGGTCAGTACAGCCGTTGATATTGGGCGCTCCTAATGGTGTGGAATACCGAGGTATGACCGAGGTTAATCCTCTGGGGACGATTAGGATTAAATGTATCTCGCAATGATTTGCGCAGTCGTTGCGAAATCTCTTCTTTAAAACGAGAACGATCAGTGCTCCGCTCCAAGATGATGGAATGCACTCTTGCGACCAGATGTGCAATAATTGTGTAATGGGATCTAAAGGGTTATCAAACCACCCATATTCAAAAAGGTGGGAGGTAGCCCGAAAGGCTCTGTTTTTGCTACCCACAGAGCTTGATTGCAAGACCGAACACCTGTTTATTTCGAAGAATCACATGCCACTGCCTACGGATATTCAGCTCCAAATGATTCTGTAATCTGACTAGCACCAGGTTAGCTGGAATGCTTCTTGGCATACTCCATTCAACGATCAAGCCGATGTCCCCTATCGTGGATGGCTTGTCTGCTTTTATCGCAGATTGTTTCACCAACTGGTGCTCGTTTACCTCCCGTGTTGCACATCAATTGTAGTGGTCTCTAAATATTTCCTGAGCAGCGGCTACTTCCATTCCCCTAGCTATTGTTGTCCACTAGTCTTCAGTCTTTCTTGATTCTCTACGGTATGTGATGTTGCAAACTCCACTGATCCCGGACGGACGTCAGGCTCACCCGCAAGCAACACTCTTTGTGGAACGCATTATGTCTAATCTGACCCCCTTGCTCATGTGAATTACCATGCTGCAGTGCCCTCAGTTTGTCATCATTTCTGTCTATGAGGAAGTCACTTTCATATGATAAACGTTAGGCACATTGATGATTTCTAACCAACGTACAGATGTTAAGGTGTGACTCATGTTCCGTAGCGAACACCGTAGTTGGACGTGCCTACGGTAACCTGCTATCGTATATGCCTTTCAATTGTTTGTTTAATCTTCTCGTTATTGTCTCACACTTGTGTGCGTGTATAGGAACGTATTTTACCTTCGTTAATTTCCTCTCGACTTCATAACCCCACTTTGTTTGTAGCGAGAGGCCGGACAAAGAGTTTGAACATGATGAAGATGCCTGACCGAATTGGCGCCCGCCGCATGATCTCCGTGATTTCACGACCCATCACTGTTATAGCGCCCGCATAATCTGTACATACCCATCATGTATCTTGATAAACATACTGCATGGGTAGTAATATTTGTAATACAAGTCTTTGTGTTCTCTGTGTATACGAAATTTCGTTTTTGATGTAATTAAAAATGAGTAGTTGATCTGAACACGTGTATGTAAGAGGGAGGAGGGGGGGGGTTTGCGCAGAAAATTGGTCGGTACCGAAATGCATGATATCATTGGAATGAGGTATGAAAAGGAAGTCTTTTATGATACAACATCAAGACTTCGAAATGGGTTGCTTATCTGAAAGCAGGATTCTTCCCAATGATCGGGCTCGTCCATGAGATCGAGTTTGCCGGGCGTGGTTTGTTGGACGCAAACGGGATGGCGGTCTAACATGAAATGCGTACACAGAGGATGCTGAACCAGTGACTACTTCCGGACAGTCTGCTTGCTTTTCACGCAGCAATATAACATCACATGTGTCCATGGTGGCTAACCAACGACCATCTGCGGTCTCACCGTCTCCAACAGGGACGCCCATTATCCAAACAGGTCGATCGGCGGTCCACAGGTCAGGAGAGATTGCAGGTAGGGAAAATACCGAAGCGTTGTTCAGCGCGTCCGGTGTCTGAGAAGTGCGCAAGTCCGCAGTGCTGTCCTCGTCGACAGGCATGTCATCTCTTGGTGGGTCCGAGCGCTCGGTCGATTCGTCGTTGGCATTTTCTGTTCGGGGTGTTGCAAGAGGCTGTGGCATATTGTCGACCAGAGTAAAAGATAGCGGAAAAAAGGGATGATAAAACAATGTTCAAGCAGTTGTGTGCAGAAATGATATATTGCTCATTTGTAGATTGCCTCAGGTACAAGCGCGAGATTCTATCAATATAACAATCGAAAGCCTGCATGCCTTATGTAAAACGAAGGAACTCGGAATATATAGAGCGATTCTAAATTGGTGGCATATGTTCCGTAAACATTCAAAGCAAGAACAGGTCAAGTCACCGCTTTAGGTACCTCGAGTGGATGTCTAGCAGCATCTGGAACTTTGACGATTCGCATTCTAGAGCGATATTTTGTGTTTGGGACGATTACAAATCACCAAGACGCTATCATTCGACCGTGGCAAAAAGGATCGAAACTCTTCGAAGTTGAACTTCAAAAAGCTTGATAAACTCGTTTGCCGGAAGCAAGGAAACAGGTTTGCGCTTGTCTGATAAACACTCCTATTGGGGTTTCGACCCCGTCACTGACAGACCTGAGGAGTTTGAATGCGTTGGATGATCCATTGGATACGGTCGCATAGAGGCAACGACGGTTGAGCTAGCTCATCGAAGAAAACACAGTAGCTAAGCGATTCATTCATGTGACGAGAATCGAATATTTACTTGTTCTTTTGAGACGTGCGTGCGCGCTCACTATAGAATCCATTTTGACAGCGCTTCAACTGTCAATCAGAGATGGATGTGTTGCACGCATTTGGAGGACGGGGTGAGGATTCACACGTGGAATTGAGTCACCATCATTCGTCTGTATTCCCACAGAGTTTGATGCCAATAAACAAGTATCGAATGCGCAACATAGTTGTTTGATATTGCAACTGTGAATACCTTACTGTTTCCCTAGTTCGAGTACGTTTAGTGATTACGCAGAAAGTTAACTGTGGAATGTGTGGAGGGTGACAGCTGAGCATATTTCGTTTTTTGTGTGATGATTGCCAAAGTACCCTAACTCTGATTTGCACTGAAGAGCGCGAAGTGACGTAGAACTTTGATGAACTGTTTACTTATTTTTACTTCTGAACGGCTTGCGTGTAAGTCAGCTTCATGGATGTATCTGGTAATGGCATTCTGTGACGATCGGTGACAAGGTTGGTATATTGTGAGAACAAGTCCTGGTTCGGGTTTCATATTTGGATTTGAGTCCCTGTCGTTGCACATCCGCTTTAACCGTATTGCTCTGTCTTCAGCTGGCTACAGAGTCGGTAACGCTATCCACGTCATGGTGCAGGGAGCACAGCCTTTTTTATGACACCTTAGTGTGACGAACAGCAAGCGGGGAAAGCCCCATAGTCACGAGAACCTGCTGCTCAGTGATGGAAACCGGGGTTTGGAGTGGCGAACCACATAAGGCCCTGCTAGATTAGGCGTGGTATTGAACCGTACGACAGCAAAGCTGCCTGCCACCAAATTTGGGTGATGGTGGCGGGGCTCGGACGCATGTCGGTGACAGCGACTAAACTACTGTATCGGCGTTATAGCATTTGGGAAAGCTTGTTCATTTTCGAGCAGCGTCATCGAACGTCATCGTCGGAAACCCGATCGCTCCAATTTACTTCAATAGTGAAAGACTTCAAGCTTTCTCCTATCTTATACTCTTAGCGGCCATGTTTGACAAACATAAGTAAGGATGGGTGGGAGCTGAAGCCTGATAAACCCGAAGCTTATTTCACGTCAGTTCAGTTAACTCCATCTAGAAGCACTTGCGTATAAATATCACACTCGGGGCCGGTTTCCCCCCGATCAAGCGCTAGTAGTATGTGAACTTTCTACTAATCACTTAATTAGTTTGCATGTGCTCGGGCTTTCGGTGTTTGATTTTACTACGCGATCACTGTTTCTTCGGGTGTTTCAAGCAACCGCTAACGGAGAAGAGGTCTGACGAAGCGCTGCCTAACCACCATGTTATGTATGCAATCAATGTTAGCAGCCTTAAGAGACTTGAATTGTAGTGGGTACAAAAATCAATCGGTGACTAATTGCGCATATGAGAACCTGACGGAGTTTAGAATTTTTCTAACGACGGCATCGAGCATGTTCCGAATCTCATCCTGGTGATGCACTGTTCCCGTAGATTAGCCCCAGAATGGCATAACCAACCGCAAGCAGTGCAGCTATGACGTTTCAAAATAAACTCAAAAAGATAAGGTCTTCTATGAGGACAAAAGAGGATTTCAGTCGAAAAATGCGGATAACCATTAACGGTAAAAAACATATTTAGTCATGTCGACTGTCCAGTTTACCTCTGATAACTCTTCTCGTTTAAACTGATTCAGACCGCATCCGAGGGTTAACTGACTGTTCGATGTGGGGCAATTATTTTAAGCTATACTTGGAACGATCACCCCAGACTCCGAGATAGATTTACATTTTATACACTTCACTTCTAATGGGGAACAAAAGATATCTTTCGTGTGTACCTCGGAAAACCATGAATAGCGACGAAAAAAATGGGTACATTGTTTCTAATAATTGTTTTTATAACAAACCTAAGGGGGCCTTGTTGTTCGTCACTCCCAGGCCTACGTTTTCGGCTAACGGCAGGCACTGGTGACTATGGTGATTGCCCCGTCCACTGTTCATCATATAAACATGTGTAATAAAAAAATTACGTGGCACGTTGCACAGCATTCACTTCATTGGCCTAATAGATGGACTGTACCCCCCCCCCCCCCCCCCCCCCCCC